AATGGCCTCCTCCTGCTCCTATCTTCTATGTTATGCAAGTGGAAAGGCAAGTCGCAGAGGGATACAACGAGTTTACAAATAGATATTGATAGGTTAAGTAAGTGGGCAAAATTTTGGCAAATGGAGTACAATGTGGTAAAATATGATGTATTTTGGAAAGGAGAACAAAAGAACAGTATTATTTAAATGGGAAAAAAACTGCAATGCAGAGTGCAGGAGGCCATGCCAGGAGCAGCACCAGGTATACACAAAAATGAGGTGTTAACCTGTGAAGCTACAAAACAGGGCAACGTGTGCGCCAAACATCACTGGCAACAAGTGACAGACAGAGCTAAGCGATCCCATATCCAACAGATCAGATCTAAACTCTGCAGTTCTGCCACATCCAGTTGTGAATGATGTTGGACAATTAAACAACTCACTAGAGGAGGAGGTTCCATAAATATCCCCATCCTCAAAGATGAAAGAACCCAACACATCAGCACAAAAGATAAGGCTGAAGCATTCGCAGCAATCTTCAGCCAGAAGTGCTGAGTGGATGATCCATCTCGGCCTCCTCCAGTGGTCCCCAGCATCACAGATACCAGTCTTCAGCCAATTCGATTCACCCCACATGATATCAAGAAACGGTTGGAGACACTGGATACTGCAAAGGCTATGGGCCCTGACAACATTCCAGCAATAATATTGAAGACTTGTGCTCCAGAACTTGCCACTCCTTTAGCCAAGCTGTTCCAGTACAGTTAGAACACTAGTATCTGCCTGACGATGTGGAAAATTGCCCAAGTATGTCCTGTACACAAAAAGCAGGACAAATCCCACCCGGCAAATAACCGTCCCATCAGTCTCCTCTTGATCATCAGTAAAATGATGGAAGGTGTCAGTGACAGTGCTATCAAGCAGCACCTGCTCAGAAATAACCTTCTCAGTGACGCCCAGTTTGGGTTCTGCCAGGGCCACTCAGCTCCTGATCTCATTACAGCCTTGGCTCAAACATGGACAAAAGAGCTGAATTCCAGAGGTGAGGTGAGAGTGACAGCCCTTGATATCAAGGCTGCATTCGACCGATTGTGGCATCATGGAGCCCTGGCAAAACTAGAATCAATGGGTATCAGAGGGCAAACACTCCGGTGGTTGGAGTCATACCTGACACATAGGAAGATGGTCGTGGTTGTGGGAGGTTAATCATCTCAGCTCCAGGACATCTCTGCAGGAGTTCCTCAGGGTAGTGTCCTAGGCCCAACCATCTTCAGTTGTTTCATCAATGACATTCCCTCCATCATAAGGTTAGAAGTGGGGATGTTAGCCGATGATTGCATAATGTTCAGCACCATTTGTGTTGTCCATGTTCACATGTAACAAGATCTGGACAATATTCAGGCTTGGGCTGACAAGTGGCAAGTGACATTCGCGCCACACAAATGCCAGGCTATGACTATGACCATGACCAATAAGAGACAATCTAACCATCACTCCTTGACATTCAGTTGTGTTTCCATCACTGAATCCCCCACTATCAACATCCTGGGGGTTACCATTGTCCAGAAACGCAGCTGGACTCACCACATTAACACAGTGGCTACAAGAGCAGGTCAGGAGCTGGGAATACTGCAGTGAGTAACTCACCTCCTGATTCCTCAAAGCCTGACCGCCGTCTACAAGGCACAAATCAGGAGGGTGATAGGATACTCCCCACTTACCTGGATGAGTGCAGCCCCAACAACACTCAAGAAGCTTGACACCATTCGGGAAAAAGAATTTGCTTGATTGACACCACATCCACAAGCATTCACTCTCTCCACCACTGACGCTCAGAAGCAGCAGTGTGTACTATCTACAAAATGCACTGCAGAAATTCACCACAGTTCCACAGACAGCACCTTCCAAACCCATGACTGCTTTCACCTAGAAGGATAAGGGCATCGGACATGTGCGAACATCACCACCTCCAAGCTCCCCTCCAAGTCACTCACCATCCTGACTTGGAAATATATTGCCATTCCTTCACTGTCGCTGGGTGAAAATCCTGGAATTCGCTCTCTAATAGCATTGTGGGTCATCCCACAGCAGGAGGACTGCAGCGGTTCAAGAAGGCAGCTCACCACCACCTTCTCAAGGGCAACTAGGGATGGGCAAGAAATGCTGACTCAGCCAGCGACGCTCACACTCCACAAATGAATAAAAAAAAGTAACAGTTTGACTAGGAGGGTGAATAGCTGTTAATGGGGACTGTTAATGACTAACAACAGAGGGTGTATAATGGCAGGCTATGTGATAACAAGGTCTGGTGTGTGGGGTAGGGGGCTAGGACATGGGAGGGTTTAGGCTGTAAAATTATTGAACTCGATATTGAGTCCAGGGGGCTGCAGGGTCCCCAAGCAGAAAATGAGCTGTTGATCTTCCAACTTGCGCTGAGCTTTGCTGGAACACTGCAGCAAGCCAGAGACAGAGATGTTGGCCGGGAACAGGGTGGTTTGTTAAAGTGGTAGGCAATTGGAAGCTCAGGTTCTTTTTTGCGAGCAGAATGTAGATGCTCTGTGAAGCGGTCACCCAGTTTATGCTTCATTTCCCCAATGTAGAGGAGACCACATTGTGAGCAGTGAATGCAGTAGACTAGATTCTAGTACAGGTGAAGTGTTGCTTCACCTGGAAGGTATGTTTTTGGGCCCTTGGATACTGGGGAGGGAGGAGGTAAATGGGCAGGTGTTGCACCTTCGCCGGTTGCAGGGGAAGGTGCCGTAGGGCTGTGGGGCATTGTTGGGAGTGAAGGAAGAGTGGACCAGGGTGTCCTGGAGCGAATGGTCCCTGCGGAAGGCAGACAAGGTAGGGGAGGGGAGTAGATGTCTGGCGGTGGCATCTCGCTGGAGCTGGTGGAAATGGCGTCTGATAATCTGGATGTGGATGCTGGTGGGGTGGTAGGTGAGGATAAGGGGAACCCTATTGCTGTTGCAGGAGGGAAGTGGGAGGTGAGGGCAGAAGTGCGGGAGAGAGGTCGGACTGGGTTGAGGGCCCTGTTGATAACGGTGCTGGGGAATCCTTGGCTGAGGAGCAAAGTGGACATTTCGGAGGCTCCCTTGTTGAAGTTGGCCTCATCTGAACATATGCGATCAAGGTGGAGGAACTGAAAGAATGGGATGGTGTCTTTACAGGATGCAGGTTGTAAGGATGTATAGTCCAGGTAGCTGTGGGAGTCATTGGGTTTATCGTGGATATTAGTGGCCAGCCTATCCCTAGAACTGGAAACAGATGTTGAGGAAGGGAAGGGAGGAGTCAGAGATAGACCAGGTGAAAGTGAGGGCAGGGTGGAAATTGGAAGCAAAATCAATGAACTTTTCCAATTTCGGACAAGAGAGGGAAGCAGCACCGATGATATCATCGATATATCGGAGAAAGAGTTGTGGGTGGGGGCCGGAATAGGACTGGAACAAGGAATGTTCCACATATCCCCTGGGGCCCAAGCGAGTACCCATGGCCACCCCTCACCTGAAGAAAATGTGAGGAGTTAAAAGCAAGTTGTTGAGGCTGAGGATGAGCTCGGCCAAGTGGAGGAAGGTGGTGGTGAGGGACGGTTCAGGCCTTTGTTCCAGGAAGAAGCAGAGAGCCCTAAGGCCATCCTGGTGGGGGATGGGCGTTTAAAGGGATTGCATATCCATGGTAAAGAGTCAGCTGGAGCTTGCAAACCGGAAATTTTGAAACTGGCATAAAGCGGCAGAGGAATCACAGATGTACGTGGGCAGGGACCGGACCAGGGAGAGAGAAGACTGAGTCAAGGTAGGAAGAGATGAGTTCTGTGGGGCAAGAGAAGGCTGAAACCATGGGTCTGCCTGGACAGTCCTATTTGTGGATTTTTGGGAGAAGGTAGAATCGAGCTGTGCGGGGCTGTGGTCTATCAGCTTGGAGGTAGTGCGGGAGAGGTCACCAGATGAAACGAGGTCATTTACTGTAGTTGATACAATGGCCTGATGTGTCATGGTGGGGTCATGGTCCAGGGGAAGAAAGGAGGAGGTATCTGAGAGATATCTGAGAGAGTAACTCAAAAATACCCATGGCCCTCTGGAACCTTCGTCCCCACCCCTTCCCTCTGACTCCATCCCCCCTCCCAACCCCACCTCCTGTCAGGTATTCACCATCCCTCCTAACCTTCTGCTCTCCGATGCTGAATGTTCTGTACTCAGCAAAGATCTCAGTTTTATTCCTCTGTGCCCCACCTTAATGAATTTCAGGCACAACATGACGCCAAACTCTTCTTCTGCCGTATTCGCCTCTATGCCCATTTCTTTGGACAAGAGTCCTCTCCCTGTCCCACAGACCCCTTTGCCCAGTTCCAACACTGTCCCTCCACCTGGACCCCTCCCTCTGGCCTTTTACCTGCACTCGATCTGTCCATTGAGAACTGTCAATATGATATTGGTCGCCTCAATTTCTCTGCCCCCCTCACCAAATCCAACCTACCTCCCTCAAAACGGACTGCACTCCGTGCATTCAGATCTAACCCTGACTTTGTTATTAAGCCTGCTGGTGCTGTTGTAGTCTGGTGTACTGACCTCTACATTGCAGAGGCTGAGTGCAAACTCTCAGATACTTCCTTCAGACACCTATTCCCTTCCCCTTCTGAACTGTCACTTGACAACAGCCCCTCTGCAAACCACCTTCTGGAAGCAGTGACTGCACTGATGCAGATCTTCCCCACTTCAGCTGATCAGCGTCACCACTCTGCTGCCCTCTTCCGGGTATTCTTGGCATGTGGACATTTGTTGGTTCTCGGGTTTAATGCAACTGAATACCTGACAAGAATCTCTGATGCTTTGGCTTCAGCTAAAACTGCTTGACTGTCTTCATTCCAGTTTTACAGCAAACGCTAGTCCTGCAGCGATGCCCTCGGTCACATTCTCAGCCATTTGGGCCTTGGGCAGTGTCCCTGGGCACAGGATGGTGATACTGATGGATGTGGGATACTTGGTGCTGGGTTAAAGAAAGAGCAACCTCGTTGGTGGGGGATGATGGCTGGGAAGCAGAGGTGCCAGGGAGAACAGGTCCTTTCTCTATTATTTATTTACAGAATTCAGCTGCCAAAATCTCTGTAAATTTATTAACTGTTTCCTTTCTCTGACAGCTGCTGTACTCGGGTTGCCTCCTTACTTGTTACATCCTGTATTTTATGAAGTATATTGGTTCACAGGAAGCACAAAGAAGATCCTTCCCTCTCTCCACAGTAAGCGACATATTGCCTAAATATCACTGTCATCAGGTAAGTGAACTGCTCCTCAATCACTGTTCAATAACACCCCCGCTTAAACCACTGACTGCTCTCCTTCCTCACTGTTCACTGCCCCCTCCCTCACCGTTCACTGCCCCCTCCCTCACCGTTCACTGCCTCCTCCCTCACCATTCACTGTCCCCTCTGTCACTGTTCCCTGACCCCTTGCTTGCCGTTCACTGCCCCCTCCCTCGCCGTTCACTGCCCCCTCCTTCGCCGTTCACTGCCCCCTCCCTCATCCTCATTGCTCCCTCCCTCACCATCACTGCCCTACCTGATGCTCTCTGTCCCCTCCCTCACCGTTCACTGACCCTCCCTCACCCTCACTGCCCTACCTGACCCTCTCTGTCCCCTCCCTCACTGTTCACTGCCCCCTCCCTCACCGTTCATTGCTCCCTCCCTCACCCTCACTGCTTTGCCTGACTCTCTGTCTCCTCCTTCACCGTTCACTGCCCCCTCCCTCACTGTTGATTGTATTATGGTCTCAGCTAAAAGCCATATTGAACACTTTGGATCTAACAATGATCCTTGGATTGATATGCCATATATTTATTTTGTGTGATCATGTCATATAGTTATAATATACAGTAATAGAAATATAAGTTAGAAAGATCTTAACACAAAGATTAGAACAAATTTTTTAACCTATCTCCCAATGCCATCCATTACAGAGACCAGAGGAATTATTCCCCAGAGAGCAGGCTTGAGGGGCCAAACAGCCTACTCCTGTTCCTGTTCCTTATGGTACTATGGTCCACCTATTTTGGATCTGGTGTTAATGAGATGGGCTTAATAAATAATGTTAGAGTAGATGATTCCCAAGGAAGCGGTGATCATAACATGGCAGAATTCAGCTTTCAGTTTGAGAGGGAAAGACTTAGCTTGGAAACAACTGTGCTAATTTTAAATAAGAGCATCTACAAAACAATGAGGGGCAGAGCTGGCTGGTATAGACTGGGAAAGGAGTTTAGCAGCAAAGGCACTTGGTATAG